TAGATGTTAAAATGAGCAGAGGATTAATACAGTAAGATTATTTGATAGAAAATTGCAACTTAAAGAAACCCTGTCACCCAAAGGTCCTTTTAAAATAAATACTATACCAAAACAATTCTTCCCTGAAAACACTGATCAAGCAGAATTTTATATATTCACAAATTATAACCTTAAGGCAAGAATATTTACAATACACTGAAAATAAACTTGCTTTAGGCCAGACCATGTTGCTTAAAAAAATGGAGGAGTAAAAATTGAAGAACCTTTAAATAGAGTGGGGAAGGGTTACAATTTATGTCAGACATCTGTTGATGTATGTGTTTACAGTGAGAAGATTTATTTGCACTATATGTACCAATAATAGGGTTTAAGGCAAAGCTTATTGCATGAGTATCATGTACCTGGTGATGGAGGCCAATGAAGAGAGGTCTTCCCTTGCGGCTAAGTTCCGGACTCCCCTGAGAGTGGGACAGCGGGAGTCAGGCCCAAAGTTGCACAGGTCGCCTGTAGGAGTGCTGGTTGGTGGTCCACTCAGAAGCACAGCTGGTGCACGGAGATAGGTCTGTAGACAGGAGGCGCCTGTGTGTGGTATGCAAGCCCTTCTGGGATTTAGGTGTTTACTGGGTAGCCTGTTCAAGCCAAGGTCAGGTACCAGGTGGGAATCAGAGCAGACGTAGTCAGATGGGAAAGCCAAGGTCATACACAGAGGAGCGAGAGAGAGCATCCGTAAGCCAAGCCGAGGTCAGATCAGGGGTAAATCAGAGTAGACAGGTCCAGGAGCAAGCCGAGTCGGTATCAGGAAATCACAGGTCACAATCACAGGAAACAGGAAACAGGAACAAGGCACGGGGAGCTAGAGATCATCCAGCAACTTGAGGAAGTGATGAGCCTCCTTATAAAGGCCGTCTGGCACCAAACTGAGGCTGTTGCATGCTTCTGTAACCATGCAGGGTACTGGCAGAAATGCCAGATCTTCCAGAATTTCTGCCATGGAAAGGACCCTGACAGTGAGTTAAGTCAATCATGTGACCACGTATCGCATGCGATACTGAGAATGTCAATTGACTATTGCTAGTATGCGGTATTTACTGAAAATAGCAAAAACACTTAGTAAATAACGCATAAAAAGACCATAACCACTTGCCCTCCTGAGGATTTACCCCCCTTAATTACTAGGCCTCTTTTTGCTACTCGGTGCTGCACTAATTCAACTGATAATTGCACAGTCATGCAATGCTGCACCCAAATAAAATTTACGTCTTTTTTCACACAAATAGAGCTTTCTTTTGGGTATTTGATCACCTGTGCGCTTTTTATTTTTCACGCTATAAACAAAAAAAGACCAAAAATTTTGAAGAAAACTATATTTTTTACTTTCAGCTATAAAAAATATATAGTAAACTCAAAGATAGTTATAAATTTAGGCCAAAATGTATTTTGCTACATGTTTTTGGTAAAAAAAAAATCCCAATAAGTGTATACTGATTGCTTTGTGTGAAAGTTATAGCATCTACAAACTATGGTATAGATACTGCAATTTACGCCATTTTTTTGCTATACAGTGCTGCGCTAGTTTAACAGACAATTGCGCGGTCATGCAATTCGGTACATAAATTAAATGTATGTTCTTTTTTTCACACAAATAGAGCTTTCTTTCGGTGGTATTTGATCGCCTGTGCATTTTTATTTTTTGCGTTATAACAAAAAAAAGTCTGACAATTTTGAAAATAAATAACAATATTTTGGACTTTTTGCTATAAAACATGTCCAGTAAAAAAAATGTAAAAATCTAATTTCGTCATAAATTTTGACCAAAATGCATTCTGTGACATGTCTTTGCTAAAAAAAAAAAACCAATACGTGTAAATTAATTGGTTTCCGTGAAAGTTATAGCGTTTAAAATGGCGGGAAAGATACTGGGATTTAAAAAAATTTTTTTATACTAATAATGGCGGTGATCAGCGACTTATGGCAGGACTGCGACGGACATTCTGACACTGGGGGGGAACTTACTTGGGGTCACTGACATCCCCAGTGACACCAATACAGTGATCAGTGCAAAAAACACTGACACTGTACTAATGGCACTGGGGAGGAAGGGGTTAACTTTTTTTTATTCACTGAAAGGGTTAACTGTGTGAGGGGAATGTTTTACTAGGGGCGGAGGTATGTACTGCACAGGGACACGCTGATCTGGAGAGATAAACTCTTCTCTCCTGATCAGCGTGTCAGGAGCTGTCAGGGAACTGACAGAAAGCAGAGCTACTGCAGCCCTGCTCTCTGTCAGTGTTTGCCGCTAATCGCGGGACACGGCCGGTAATGACTGGCTGTGACCCACCAACTGACACCCACAGCTGGGATTGGCGGTGCAGGTAGGGGGGCGGCGCGCCTCGCGTGCGCCTCCTACCTGTTTTGCAAAACACACGTTTTAAAACGTGCTTTTGCCCAGCCGTGCCACCCTGCCACCGTATTTCTACAGTGACTGGGTGGCAAGTGGTTAAAGTCAATTCATAAAAATAAATAAATAATTAAATGCATGCGGTAATTAAGTAGTGTTCCAGGCATGCGGTATGTACTGGTAACTGTCAGTACTGTCATAGGTTGTTAAGAAATGGGCAGCCATGGAGTCCTTAACAACCTGAGTCACCAGTTGTCAGCGGAGTTGCCCACTGAGAGCTGAATGTAAAAAAAAAATTGCTGGCAATTTAAACAAAAAACGGCATGGGATCCTCCCTCCATCCATACCAACCCCTTTGGGACTGGTATGGTTTTGAGGGGAAGACCATGCCAAAATTAAAAAAAAATTCAGTGGGGTCCCCGCAAAATCCACACCATACCCTTATCTGAGCACGCTGCCCAGCAGGTCAGGAGAGGGGGGGGGCGAGCGAGTGCCCCCCTCCTGAACCATACCATGCCATGTCCTGGTATGGATTTTGGGGGGTCCTCATGCCATTTTTTAAATTTTGGCATGGGGGTTCCCCTCAAAATCTATACGAGACCGAGGGGCTTGGTATGGATTGAGGGGGGACCCCACTAACTTTTTAAATTATTTTTTTATTTGCCAGTGATTCTTTCTTTTACATTCAGCTGTCAGTGGGGAACCCTGCTGGTAGCTGAAATATTAACGCATGGTTTTCACTACTGAAATACCACATGACTTGATAAAATAACTAATGCGGTATTGTAGTAGCGTTTTTTAGTGAATTCAAACTTTAAATCCTATGCGGCATCCTACTGCATACTCGAATGCGGTAAGATACCACTTAGTGAATTATGCCCAGTAAGTTATGGAAATCGGCTTAACTGTGGCAGCAAAAACACTTTTTTAGTACTGTGGGGGATAGTTTTGTTTTAATTTCTACCTGTGCCTTCCTGCCCCAGTGACATCCTTCATTTTTTGTTGTTGATTCACAGGGACAGAAAGTACAGACATATTCCCAAAGGCATTGATGACAGCAATAAAAACCCAACATACATTCCAGTCGTTTACCACTCACCTTAAGAAAACAGTTTGTAAACTTTTCACTGCTAAGAAATCTGAAATCGCACATAGTAACGCAGTTGTGAACTATTTTCAGCAATAATTGTCTGACATTGCAAAAAAAAAAAATCTGTCCCAGAATGTACTCTTTACTGTAAATATGCTTTTGTTAAGAGATCCTATAACCAGATGATAGAAATATTAGATACAAACAAGCCAGAGATACTTTTATAATACTTTTACTATATCACATGACTCATTATACTGATCTGTATTTTTAAGTGGCTATTCAGAAGATTACATTAACAAATACAATTGAAGTTTCAAGTTATCAGCACTTACAAAGAAACACTAGAAATACGAGATGACACATTTTAGATTCTGGTTTCAAGGCTCTGAAAATTGGTCATTATTTTAACATGTACTGTATTTAGTAATGTGTTGTTTTGTGATTTTGCATTTCCAGTGACAGGTGAAGACCTGATGAATATTGCTCTCTTTGCTGAAGTATATTGTCATTGCAGTTTAGTTTAAAATTAAAGCAGCCAATTGCTCTGCACTGATTTTTTTTAACCATTTTAGTACTTCATTCCTATTTCACACCCTTCCTGCCCAGGCCAAGTTTCTGCTTTCAGCACTGTTACACTTTGAATGCCAATTGTTTAGGCATGCAACACTGTACCCAAAACAAATGTTTAACATTTTTTGAAACTGACAGAACTTTCTATTGGTGGTATCTATTCACCATGTTTTTTTTTCTTTTTGCTTTCTTACTATATAAATAACAAAATACTGACAAAATTGTTTCTGTTGCAAAATAAAGTCTTTCTTTATAAATTTAGGCCAAAATGTATTTTGATACATCTCTTTTGTAAAATAACTCAAATCAGTGTATATTATTTAGTTTACAAAGCATTTTACATTTTTAAAATTCTTTGTAAAAAAATACTTTTTTTGGATCTTTTCACATTTTTATGAATAGTCTATGTTTCATAATAATAATAATAATTATATATATATATATATATATATATATATATATATATATATATATGTATATATACACCGTGTTTTTTGCTCCACCATACGCACTTTTCCCCCCAAAAAAATGGGGGGAAATGTCTGTGCGTCTTATGGAGCGAATATGGAGTGGCCGGCCGGGTATTCCCCCCATTGCCGCCGCCGCCGCCATGTTAGAACACTGGGCCAGCCACTCAGCTCTTCTGTGGCAGTGCCAGTCAGGGCCCAAAGCAGCAGCTCCTTAAAGCAGAGTTTCAGCTGAAAAAAAAAAAAAGTCAGCAGCTACAGTTTTTGTAACTTCTAAAATACAGTCACTTACCTGTTCCTCGGTCCAGTGGTGTTACCACCACTGGTTTCACCGGCTGTCTTCTCTCCCTGGCATCTTTAGTGTGGGCACCCGGCTGTGACAGCCCACTGCTGCACTTTGTGAATGGCCCCATAGTCTTCTGGGACCTGTCACGCGTCCCAAAAGACTATGGGAGGGAGAACAACTTCAGCTTTTGAACTCCTAGGCGATCGCAGCAGACGTGGGAGTGGGTACCTGTCAAATTCGGGTACCCGCTCCCCCCCTTGCTCCCCAAAGGTCTGCAGTCTTTGGTCATCTCCTGTACTATGTCTGCAGTCTCTGGTCATCTCTTGTAGTATGTCCACAGTCTCTGGTCATCTCATGTACTATGTTCGCAGTCTCTGGTCAACTCCTGTACTATGCCCGCAGTCTCTGGTCATCTCCTGTACTATGTCTGCAGTCTCTGGTCATCTCATGCACTATGTCCGCAGTCTCTGGTCTCTATGTCCGTCTGGTCACTCCTGTACTATGTCCGCAGTCTCAGTCTTTTGGTCATCTCCTGTACTATGTCTGCAGTCTCTGGTCATCTCCTGTCATCTCCTGTACTATGTCCGCAGTCTCTGGTCATCTCCTGTACTATGTCCGCACTCTCTGCTCATCTCCTGTACTATGTCCTCAGTCTTTGGTCATCTCCTGTATGTCTCTGTCTGCAGTCTTTGGTCATCTCATGTACTATGTTTGCAGTCTCTGGTCATCTCCTGTACTATGTCCGCACTCTCTGGTCATCTCCTGTACTATGTCCGCAGTCTTTGGTCATCTCATGTACTATGTTTGCAGTCTCTGGTCATCTCCTGCAGTATGTCCACAGTCTCTGGTCCTCTCCTATACTATGTCCGCAGTCTCTGGTCAACTCCTGTACTATGCCCGCACTCTCTGGTCATCTCCTGTACTATGTCCGCAGTCTCTGGTCATCTCCTGTACTATGTCCGCACTCTCTGCTCATCTCTGGTCATCTCCTGTACTATGTCCTCAGTCTTTGGTCATCTCCTGTACTATGTCCGCAGTCTCTGGTCATCTCATGTACTATGTTCGCAGTCTCTGGTCATCTCCTGCAGTATGTCCACAGTCTCTGGTCATCTCCTGTACTATGTCCTCCTGTCATCTCCTGTATGTCCGCAGTCTCTGGTCATCTCCTGTACTATGTCTGCAGTCTCTGGTCATCTCCTGTACTATGTCCCAGTCTCTGCTCATCTCCTGTACTATGTCCGCACTCTCTGGTCATCTCCTGTACTATGTCCGCAGTCTCTGGTCATCTCCTGTAGTATGTCCGCAGTCTCTGGTCATCTCATGTACTATATTCGCAGTCTCTGGTCATCTCCTGTAGTATGTCCGCAGTCTCTGGTCATCTCTTGTACTATGTATGCAGTCTGTGGTCATCTCCTGTACTATGTCTGCAGTCTCAGGTCATCTCCTGTAGTATGTCCGCAGTCTCTGGTCATCTCCTGTACTATGCCTGCAGTCTTTGGTCATCTCCTGTAGTATGTCTGCAGTCTGTGGTCATCTCTTGTAGTTCATCCACAGTCTCTGGTCATCTCCTGTACTATGTCTGCAGTCCATTGGTTCAGAATATATATACACCCTGTTCCAAATTATTATGCAAATTAGATTGTTCTCGTTTACCTAAATAATTGATGTAAATAACAGTCAGCATAATTCTCATGTTATCAACTATTAAGAGTACAATTCAAAATTTATTGAACAAACCTCCTAATGATAACAGTATTTTTTTTTAAACATAAAAAACGTACAATGCACTGTTCCAAATTATTACGCACAGTAAGTTTCAAAGAACTGAAAATTGTCATTTGTTGTGTTTGCAGCATATTTACTGAAGACAAAAGCTATTTCAATCAAACTTTTAACAACATTTTAACTTTTTAAACATTTTAACAGGTCACGTTACATTTTAACATAGGACCCCTTATTTGATAGCAGCTTCACAAGTCTTGCATCCATTAAACTTGTGAGTTTTTGGACAATTTCTGCTTGAATTTGTTTGCAAGATGTCAGAATAGCCTCCCAGAGCTGCTGTTTGGATGTAAACTGCCTCCCACCCACATAGATCTTTTGCTTGAGAATGCTCCAAAGGTTCTCAATAGGATTGAGGTCAGGGGAGGATGGAGGCCACACCATGACTTTCTCTCCTTTTATCCCCATAGCAGCCTTTGATGCAGAGGTATTCTTTGCAGCATGAGATGGTGCATTGTCATGCATGAAGATGATTTTATTACGGAAAGCATAGTTCTTCCTTCTGTACCAGGGAAGAAAGTGGTCAGTCATAAACTCCACATACTTTGCAGAGGTCATCTTTACACCTTCGAGAATCCTAAAGGGGCTGACCAGCTCTGTTCCCATGATTCCAGCCCAAAACATGACTCCACCACCGCTTTGCTGACGTCGCAGCCTTGTTGGAATAGGGTGGCCATCCACCAACCATCCACGACTCCATACATCTGGACCATCCAGGGTTGCACGGCACTCATCAGTGAACAGGATTGTTTGAAAATTAGTCTTCATGTATTTTTCTGCCCAATGCAGCTGTTTCTGCTTGTGAGCATTGGTTAGTGGTGGTCGAATAGAAGGTTTATGCACAGTTGCAAGACTCTGGAGGACTCTACACCTTGATGTCTGTGGGACTCCAAAGGCACCAGCAGCTTCAAATATCTGTTTGCTGCTATGTAATGGTATTTTAGCAGCTGCTCTCTTGATCTGATGCATGGATCTGGCAGAAATCTTTATCTGCACAAACCCGTCTGTGCTCTGAATCAGCCACAAATTCTTAATAGTGCGATGATCATGCTTAAGTTTTCGTGAAATATCTAATGTTTTCATACCTCATCCAAGGCATTGAACTATTTCACTCTTTTTGGCAGCACAGAGATCCTTTTTCTTCCCCATATTGCTTGAAAATGGTGCTCTGCTTAATAATGTGGAACACCATCCTTTAGTAGTTTTTCCTTAAATTGGGCTCACCTGCCAATCTAATTATCACAGGTGTCCGAGATTGTTTTCAGTGATCAAAAGAGCCCTGAGACACAATGCCATCCATGAGTTAAACTGAAAACCAAAATATTTAATCTTTGTGACACTTAAATAGAATTTTCATAATGATTTGGAACAGGGTGTGTGTGTATATATATATATATATTTATTCCCTTATGTTGTTCTTTAGTCCTTTTTTCTTACTCCATCCTTCATTTATTTTTTATTTCTATTTATGTAATTGGGTTTTTGTTATTTTGTATTCTATGCTGACATTGCAACATTTGCCATAATTTGCCATGCACATACTATTTGTTTATTTGTATACATAATGGGAGTTTATTTCTTTAAATTATATTCCATCGTGTGTGCAAGTTTGTTTTTGATGTGCATTTGTAAATAATTATTTTGTTTTTAACATGTTTTATTAGTATTGCTGTGATGGTTTGGGACCATCTTAATGCTTGAAAGCATAGCCTATTACTGACAAGTGTCAAAGGCTGTGCTTTGTCTGAGACAGGTTTTGCAATTAACACCTGTGTAAGACTTTCATGCATTGGCTATGATTAAGCGCCATGGTCAGCGTGACATGCGTTAGCCAGTTTTCTGGTTTCCGTACTGTATGTGGATTATATCTGGATAACTCAAAAAAGCTGGTTTTATTGTAAAGTGCAGCCACCAGCCTTACTTCTTTAGTATGCAGACATCAACTAGAAGGGCCAGCACCTGTTAGTGTGCATGGAAGTGGGAGACCAACCTGGAGCACTGTTTCTTGTTTTCATAGTAGTAAGAGGAATGGTGAGGTTTTAAGTTGTAATTTCTTCTCACAATTTTTTGAAAAATAAAGACATTAAATAAAATGTTTTTTTTAATTTATTTTTTACAAACTGTGCTCCATTCACTTAAGCAGATCACATGCAGTATTTAGGTGTCCAGACACATTTTCCCTAAATATTGCATGCAATCCTGTAATTGTCAATTCACTGTGCCGTATTGTGGTATTTACAACAAAACTCAAATGCTTGGTAAATACCACATATAATAGCATTAAACTTAATTCACAAAAGGAAATAAATAAATGAATGCAGTAATTAAGTAGAGGTCCAGGCATGCGATAGTCAGGGAATGTTTATGATTTTAACAGGTTGTCAAAGAGCTGGCAGCCACCGGCATCCTTAACAATCAGTAACTGTCATGGTTGTTTAGGAGCAGGTGGTTGCCACATCCTTAACAGCAGGGTCTGAAAGCTGAATGCAAACAAAAGAATTGCCAGCATTTAAAAAAAAAAAAAAAAAAATGCGTGGGGTCCCCCAAACCATACAAGCCACTTTGGGTATGGTATGGATTTTGGGGGAACCCCACACCAAAATTTAAAAGCAACCATGGCATTGGGTCCTCCCCAAAATCCATACCAGACCCTTATCTGAGAGTGCAGCCTGTCAGGCCAAGAAAGGGGGGACAAGTGAGTGCCCCCCTCCTGAACCATACCAGGCCAGCTGCTGGTCCAATCAAACAAATTATGTTGATGACCTCATACGTGGGTGTGATCACCAAATGTGAAATCCCTCTTAAGTTAAAGGCTATATATAGTCAGATAAAAAAAATCTTCCACCATTCAGTAGATCCTTGTATTGTAGCCAAAATGCCAAGTGCCACCACTTTAATCAAATGCACACTCACCAGGATATAGGCTTAATAAGTATAGAAGACACAGCATATTTCTCAGACACAAATTCTCACCATGCGTATGCACTTCCACTCAGGAATCACTTCTCTTATGCTGCAGCAAAAGGCGACTCTTTTGGCAGATCATCATTATTGACTAGGATCTGTATCGCTGAACAATGTTATTGTCATTGATTTTACCTCAAAGGGCATTATTTATTTTTTTATGTGTGTTACATTTTCACTAAATGACTTTTTTACTGTGTTTTTATTTACTTGTTATATTTTTAGGGGAATTAATATATTAAATAAATAATAAATTAATAAATAGGGATACTATTTTTTTAATCACTTTTAACCTCCAAAATTTTGAAAAAAAAAATACAATATTTTTTAATTTATGCTATAAAACATATCCAATTACAAAAAAAAATTCCTTATAAATGTCTTTGGTAAAAAAAAATCCAAACAAGTGTATATTGACTGGTTTGCATGAAAGTTACAGCATCTACAAACTATAATATATATACAGGAATTTTTTAAATACCACTAATGGCTAAAACCAGTGACTTATAGTGGGACTGTGATAGTGCAGCAGGCAAACTGACACTAACTGACACTGGTGGGAAGTGACTAACTGCCATTGACATCTCTAGTGACACTAATAGTACCACATTAATAGATCAGTGATAATACTATACTGTACACTGTCACTGTACTAAAGACACTGTCTGGGAAGGGGTTAACATCTTGGGTAATGAAGGGGTTAAGTGTGTATTATGTGCTGCTTTTTACTAAAGATGCTTTGCAGGGAGAAGAAACAGGGAGATTACTCCATCTGTACTGAGCCCTGTGTTAATTGTCAAAACAAGCCAATCAGCTGTTCCCGGCCATGAATTTGAAAGAAATTGGCCAGGACCTGCTGACGAACTCCCGCTGTGTACAATCACAGTGGGA